ACCACTAAAAAGAAAACTGTAGTTACAAGTCCACCTGTCAAATACGCATATGCACTTCCTATTCCAGGCATGCCTGATACGAAAGGTTTTAGTCCATATCCATTTGGGTTATATGCCCCTCATAATTATAAAGCAGCAGAAGAGTCGCAATGTCAGTTGGAAGGTTTAATGCCACCAACAAGTTTACCTGCGTACCCTTATCCATTCTATTACCCACATATGATGGCAGCGCTAACGGCTACATTAAACCCACACAAGGAGGAGGAAAATGATGGCGCTTCAAGAGATGCATTACCAATACCACAACATTGGCCGGGTTATGCATATCCATATCAATATATTGTGCTAGATCCCGCTGCATGGGCACAGACCCAAACCACAACAACTGGAAAAATAACAACTGAAGAGGCAGAGGATGACTAGATCGAGCTTGAATTAATTTCTATTTCCTTGATAACATAGCTGATATTAAGCATAATTATTTATTGTATAAATTAAGTGAATAAAATAGTGTTTAATATTTTATAACATCTTTCTTTTCCGTACAACTCAAACGGATTATAACACAGTGCAGTCGAAGCCAAAGCGGTATCGACTTGTTTTAACCTTAAAGCTTGGGACGGCTAGTTTAATTTAATAAAGAGTTATAAATAAAATATTTACGGATGTTTTAAAAAATAACAATAATGTTTAAAAAAAGACTCAATTAGTCACAAAATTCTATGTTTACGAACGTGAAGTTGAACATAGACCATGTGGACGACCATAGTGTTCAAATGTCAGTGTCAAATGTCAATGTTTCTCATGCTTTCTTTTTCTTTTGCGCTGTAGCCTGTAGCCAAAACATTTTGTTAAATTACCTATGATCGATTTATTACGCTATAAACTTTCATAAGTTATCGTGTAAACTTATTTATCAAAGTTAAAAAATGGTTTCCAAGAAAAAGAAGAAGGTAGGTACAATTCACATAACCAAACAACACGTGTTATTTACCGATGATCTATGAGTGAATATAACATCAAATACTTAGAAATACAAGCATTACGATACACACAAACTTCCTTTAACTTATAATTAAAACTAATAGTTCTATTAGTGGAATGTTTGAAGTGTAATTACAATTTTCTTTTTCACGATACCAGTATTCGTCGGGAGAAGGAGCGCAGTTTATGACAAGAAAAGCTGCACTAAAGAAACTACAGCTTTCATTGAAAGACTTCAGGCGCATATGTATCCTTAAAGGAATATACCCAAGAGAGCCACGTAACCGGAAAAGAGCTCAAAAAGGTGCTGGAGGAATCAAAACTTTATATCACACAAAGGATATTAAATTTTTGTTACACGAACCCATAATATGGAAGCTGAGAGACTTGAAGGTACGCATTTTATATTTAAAGCTTATCAAAGTAAACAATAACATTTTCTCATTTCAACTTTTTATTTTACTATATTTGAAATAATAAAAAAGTGTATTTTTCTTTTAATAGGTGTATCAACAAAAGATCCGAAAAGCTCGTGCTACGAGAGAATTTGGTCGAATGAGAAGATATTTACGAGATTATCCATCTATAAACATTGATCATATTGTTAAAGAGAGATATCCAACATTTGTTGATGCATTAAGAGACCTTGATGACTGTCTCACATTGTGCTTCCTCTTCAGTACCTTCCCATCTCTAAAGAAAGTTCCCAGGGATCAGTCATTACTATGCAGGAGATTATCTGTTGAGTTCATGCATGCGGTAATAGCAGCAAAGGCTTTACGTAAAGTTTTTATATCAATCAAAGGTTACTACTACCAAGCTGAATTTGAAGGGCAAACTATAACTTGGATTGTGCCACATCATTTCTCCTTCCAGGTATATTAATCATTATTGTTTTCATATTTTTTAATGTTTGCCCATTTGAAATAAAGCAAAACTATAAATAGCATATGGGTTCTTCCAGGCTATGTTCTATTCTGTGCCAAATTTCATTGAAATCAATTGGAAACCATGTAGAAGGAACATGGTTATAAACATCCATCTATCCACTTAAACTTTAGCATTATAATATCAGTAAGATAATTACAATTTTAAAACATTTGTAGTTGACTATGACTAAGAGTCTTGATACGGGCATCTCCAAATATCTTAATATTTTAAGAGAGCAATTTATGTTATGTGTTAATCATATTGTTCATTTTGTGTATTTCATAATTTCAGCCTCAAAGCAAAGATGAAGTAGATTTTAAAATAATGTCAACATTTGTTGAGTTCTACACAATGATGCTGGGATTTGTTAACTTCAAACTGTTCCATTCCCTGAACCTTGTCTATCCACCACAATTGACAGCAGGTTTTACACCAGAGACTGACAAGGACCTTGTTGACGAACATGCATACGTAGCTGAGAGAATTGCCGCTCTAAATATTTCCGTAGCAAAGATAGCCGGTTCAAATGATGTGGAAGAGTTGCCTGAAATTGATGTATTTGAAACTGAAGATGGAGATCCACAGAAACTCGAAGAAGCAAAACTGGAAGTTGAAAAGGTTAAATATCTGAAAACAATGTTCAAAGGTCTTAAATTTTTCTTGAATCGTGAAGTACCGAGGGAACCTTTGGTGTTTATAATAAGATGCTTCGGAGGTGAGGTGTCATGGGATAAGGATCACTTTGTCGGAGCCACATTTGATGAAACTGATGAGTCTATTACATACCAAATAGTTGATAGACCAAGTATGGATAAGCAGTATCTTTCACGTTATTATGTCCAACCTCAATGGGTGTTTGACAGTGTTAATACTAGAACACTACTTCCGATTAATAAATATCTAATGGGAGCGGTTCTGCCACCTCATTTATCGCCATTTGTAGACAAGATCAAGGACCAAGTATATATGCCACCTGAAGAGAGGGCTTTGAAGGATCCTAACTTTAAACCATTAGGTAAGTCAATTTACAACAGATTTGTGAATACAAAAGCCTAAATTAAATGCATAGAAGTTTAAGTGTATCACCATAAATGTTTATTCATAGTTTTCAATAGATTTTAACTTGAACATAGTCCATTCTTTTTCTGTTACTAGTCGCTTGATATGGGTTTTTGACAAATTATGGATATTGTAAGAATATTATGCATAGGCTTTCGAAACGCGACCTTTACTAATAAATAAAGCACCTATACCAAAAGTAATAAGACTAATTATGATAAAATATGTAACCTCACATTGACATTCAAAATATTGATCAACACTCAGAGTTAAAACACATTTTTAACTTTAGTTAAACCTGTTTAACTAAAGTTACCATTTATGGTATCTAACTATATTTTTGGGGTAATACAGTAAATGTTGATATATAATTTCAGATGACGATCCATCCGGAAGTGAAATTGAGGAAGCCAGTGACGAAGATGCCGAGGAAAAAGATGAAGGTAGTTCAGAGGAAGATGAGGAAAAAGTGTTGACGCGGCAGTACCAGCAAGAAGTAGCTGAAGAGTCGTCCAGTGATGATGAAGATGGTGAAGATGATTTAGACCCAGAGAAAAAGAAACTGGCTAAAGAAAAGGTTTGTCCCATTTCATAATGTTATACTAAAAGCTGGTACATATATGAATAGTAATTTTTGTAATGTTCTATACCCCTAGTTTTTTTTTAGTATGGAAAAAAAATCTCGCGTCGAAATGCCACTAAACATACTTATTAAGTAGATTCAGAAAATATTCTTTCAAAATTAAATATTATACTTTGATTTACAGAAAAAAGCAATGGCTGTATCAACTGGTGTGACTCACAAAGAACATCCATATCAGAAAGAAATTGAGGATAAACAGGCGTTCAGACTAAGAGAGAAACTTGTAAGGAAGAAGCATAGAAACCTTTACAAGAGCATGAAAGCGGGACAAGAACAGAGGAAGAAGGAGATATGGTTGTTGAGGAAGAAACGACGTCTTCACGACGAGAAAGTTAAAGAAGAGAAAAAGGCAGAAAAACGAAAACAGAAAATGCAAGCACTAGAAGCCGCTTCTTAATATGCTAAATGAAATAAAATCATCCAATAAAATAAATATTTTAATTTTTCTATACCTATTATCATACGTTACATGGTCAATTTTTCGAGATAACAGCCAAATGTACATAAATTGTTACATTATATTTCAATAAAGTAAATAGATGAAGGCTGATATAACTTTAGCGCGATATTTTAATCCAATACACAGCCTAGACATGGCCAATATTCTTTTAATAATAATGTTATAATCTGTGTGTAAAACATATTTACACCATAATGAAATAAAAATTGAACAACAATATGTAACAAAATGAACTCACCGTTCTTTTAGACAACTATAAAAATACAATATCAAAATGGTTCGGAACAGACAATAAATACAATTCTGCATTTTAAGATAAATATTATCGCTGTATAGAAGACAGTTATAAAACAGCACTGAAATTCATATAAATGTATATTTAATTAATGCTTGTGTGCAAATATAATGTATAAAACAGTATATTTGTTACATTACTAATATAACAAATATACCTAGATATATATTGCTATGAAATGCTTTCAGCTAATGTATAATTTTTTGTAGATTATTCAGATTCTGTACCGCTATCATCCTCAGCATCACTGTCTTCCAGCTCCGGCATGGGGAAACGCAAAATGGCTGCAATACCGGTCAATTGATCTAATTCTGAAAGTTTTATTCAAGATTTGTACAAATTTTTTGATATATAAACAACTATGACTTTTCCCTGTATGTTGTAAAGGTTGCTTTCATGCCTACAAATTTCACAAAATCATATATGCTCAATACTCTCATGTCAGTTACCATTTACTCACGCCTGTTGCAAGCATGCAAGTGTAAAATGTCTGGCACATGTATTCTCACCCTTACACTGGTTTTAGGATTTGGAATATAAATTTGCCAAAAATGATTTACTCACGTTCACCAGAGACATGCATACTTGAAAATATTCTAACATCACAGCCATTATCTCGCGCTGAATCAACTAGTGTTACATATTCCTTTCTTTTTAAAACATCTTGACATCTGTAAAGAAATTTAATAAAGATTATAGAACTTTTCATGGTAGTCACTAAATTATTGATATAATTTATTTAATACCAACAATTACGCATGAATCAACCAATAATGGAACAACAACTGGGTTTTCTTGTAACTACAGGATCCAGACACAAAAATTATAAAATAATTTGGTCGGTTTAACAAAAAAATAAATAAATGTGTAACAGGGTCTTAAATGATATGGGAACACTATAATTACAAATTCTTTTGAAATTCGACATCTGTCAGATTGTTAATGCCACTTACAAAATGTTTAAGATTCATTACAATATTTAGCCGTCAATTTCTAAGAAGAGATTCAACATATTTTTAAAGAACTACAAGCCATTATCTTATTTTGTATAATAACATTTTTCTTAAATATTCAATTGATAAAGATAAACTAACCTAAACAATCTATCCGATATCATGAGTGTTTCAAGAGCTAATGCCTCATTAGCTTTTTCAACATGTTTCTTGCCATAGAAAGCTTTAGCAGGTTCCAACTGCAACATTGTGTAAAAGCTTTCCAATAGTTTCACCTCACTAGCAGCTTTAGTATCTGATATCTTTGACATCACTGATTGTTCTTGAAGTACCTCTGAAAAGAAAATTAAGCTGGTATTACTACAGTAGAGTCGATAACTCAAACCTCTGTAACTTAAAGACCTTTAATATGTTCCCTTCTCATCAGAGCCCAATTCTTCTACAACATAGACCCTTGATAACTTAAAACCTCTATAACTTAAAATATTTTGTGTCTCCCATGGACTTTAATTTATCAAGGTTCTACTGTATTATACTATCAGTATGAAATTCTTGGGATATCAAAAAATGTATGAAAGTAGCAATCAAATATTATAATTAACTATGACTGTAGGTTTAAATTCTTTCTAATTGCAATATTTGGGCTATAAAGTTTTTACGATATAAAAGAATGATGAGAAATGGGAAGTAGATTTGGCAAAGGGGATGAATAGGAACAGGAAACTTTCTGTCTATCCTATCCTCTGTTAAGATAGTCCATGCATCTGTTAATGTCTATTGGCAGCCATCACTTTACTATTTTGGAGAAACTGTTGGCTGTTGGTCTCTACTCTTATGATAAAAAACACACAAACAATTAAATTACAAAGATATTGTAGTTACCTTTCAATGAATGTTTAAAGCCAGATGATGCTTTTACTAATAAGAACTTTCCCTTATTGTCAATCAACAGTTTATTATCTGTTTTAACAGCTTGTTGCATCATATAGTCAAAGAATTGATCTTTGACAAAACCTGGTGATGCGATAATCACACATTTAACTATACTAAAGTCAATATGCCTCAAAATGCCCTGCATTACAGCTTCATAGAACTTATTTAGACCCTGTAACATAAAATATATATAACTTTATCTAAGACTAGCTGTTGCTCTTAACTTCGCCCGTGTGAAATCAAATTATAAAAACCATAGCCTTTGTTACTTACAGATAAATTACATTTCTAACAGTTAAAGAAATATGGCCCATTAGCTTTTCTAATATAATGCTAAAGAATGCAGTTTGAATAGTTAAGTTACTCAGTTGCTATACAGCATGCAAGAATACTAGGCATATGGGCTAATAACTAATGAAAATGATCAATTTAAAGCAAGCATTGTGTGGAACTCAGAAGACAAGTATAATTCACAATATGAAAAATCTCCAAACAAATGTCGGCATAACATCTACTGATTCTCCACCCTTAAGTTCGGTTTACTCCTGTGCAATTTGATTTTATTATGAAATTAACTGCCCACCTTTTCATGTTGTTGAACAAAACCTTTCCTCTTTCTTGGTATAGTCACATCTATTTTAGAGCGGACCAATGTCATAGAGGGTGTAATAAGACATACATGAGCCAGACCCTCCTGCATCACAACGGCCGCCACATCAGCAGTTGCAGCCGGGTCACAAGCTGTGTCTACTCTTTCCAGCGCCACGGAATCCCAGAGAACCTTTTGCAAAACAAATTTTCTATTCTGTTCCAAATCTAATGTGTGATATGCACCCATCTGAAAATGTAACATATAGAAATTAAAATGTAATATTTAATTCATAAGAATATAAATTCTCTTATCATACATGGATAGTTGAGTTGAGAAATACAAAAACCTAATATTTACCTTCACATATTGGTTTTCTACAATGTTTCGGCCTTTTAAACGCAATACACATGCTTGTGTATCAAAATCAATCGTTTCAACTCTTATAGTGAGAGTAGTTCTTACTCTATTACTAGTGGAAGAACCTGTGGATGATTCCGTTTGCACCTTACGCACAGTTGACGCGGTCACTGCGTCACCTTCTGATATCAAGTTATACGCATGCCACATATCCTCCGATTCCTCAGGTATGAGCCCAATACTTCTAAAAATCACAATTATATTCCATATGTTATGTCTGTAATAACAAGTAATCATTTTATTCAAAATACCTACCCGCAACCATCTTTTTCTATGTTTTTATGTGTTAACTTCATTTTCTTAATGATGTCTTAAACAGTGTAGTACTAAATAATCATATTTGGTATTAATTACGTTTCCGAGTGAACCTTAAACGCATTTCTAATGATTTAATCAAAGCTATATTTTTTACAATACGCTGCATTCTCATTATCAATGACAAATGTCTTAAGTCTGCCAATCTGTCAATGTCAAACTGAAATGTTGCAAATCAAACGGTTTTTAATGTTGTGTAGAACAATGTATCTTAAACGTACTGCCAATAGGATTAATTGAAAAAAAGATTTCGAAAAAATATGGTTAAATTTTGAAAAACAAAATGTTACAATCTTAAGCTTTTAACCATGTGTTTTAATTTTTATTGGCTCATAACCGTAGGTATTAGGCTGAAGTTTTCCTTTTTGTTCCTTGAAATTTTAAACTGCAATAAACACATTTGTGTGTACTACAAGAGATCAGACACATCAAAATTGTGTCCGTAATTTAATATCTATTTTACTTATGTTGAAAATATTACAATACATTTATACACGTTGTCACTTGTTCATTTTAAGTTCTCATAGTAAATAAAAAAACTGACTGTCTAATAAATTTTATTTCCGGACGAGTAACGGATCCATTCACCCAAGAAAAAGTGGATAGCAAAAAAAAATTTAAACATTCTGTGGTAATGCAATGTATTTCTGCATTATAAAATTTGTGCTGTGTTCAATGGATAACTGCCGTCTTATTTTCTGAGACTTGTGTTTTGTGACTTGCATAGTTTTGTGTTCGATGTTCTAGTGATGGAGATGTAAAGGTTGAAAGTTATGTATATGATATAAATAATTTGTATAGGTGTAATTACGTGTAGTGATAACGTTGTCAAGTTCAGCTGAAACGGTGAGCGGTAAAAATTTCGCGAGTTTTTCTAACTCACGGATTGCACTGTATGTGCTCTGATTAACGTCTCAAGGTATGCTGTTATTATTTTCTATCTAATGTTCGCAACAAATAATAATTACTGAAAATATTTATGGTAACGACAACATTTTGAATTATTATAATTTCCCGCACGTGTAAATTATTGTATATAACGTAAAATTACGGTATTTGCAAAAAACACCGATTTTATTTACGTTAACGTGTTGCGTTATGGCCGTGATCCAGATTGCGTGTCCTGTTATTGCGCGGGAACTTGCGGTATTTTTAGTTTATTAGTCGCAAGTTTATTTCTGATGCGTCGGTTTATTGTTTTTGTTTTCATAGCATACAATGGTTTTTAGCATGATGATAAGTACGTAAGAATTAGTTAAAAAGTGAACGTGAAAATAAAAAATGAGTGAGCAAGAATTATCAAGGGATGGAGGGACAGACATTGGTTTACCGCCGCCTGCTCCATCATCCACTTCGTCGGACAATGCTTCAATCAGCACAACAGCATCAACAATACCAAGAGGACCTGAACATGCAAGACCTACAACTCTGCCCAAGCCGTCCGGGCTGAAACAACCTTCAAAGATTGGACGACTGTGTTCCAACGCTGCACCCAAGCCTGCTATTCCCATCTCACCTCGATCTGGTAAGTTTTTCTCTCTTTGTTTTTTTTTTATAAATTGGAAGTATTATACAAACTGCAATTGACAACTCTTTCATCCTCCCAGTTAGAAAGTAATGTAGTCTGTATTCTGTTTTCATTAATGTTGATTCTTACTCTTTGCTATCATCTTTTGCAGTCATGTTTTATGATCAGTATCAAAGTTTTATATGGTATTGGTAATATAGTACATATTTCACATGTAATTTACTTATATGTCCTATAAATTTTATCTTTATACAACACATAAACAAAACACAACAAGTTATCCAAACACAATAACTGAAATAAATCAAAATATTCTGCCTAAACAAGCAAATTAAGTAGATATATTTACAAAAATGCAGCATATGAATATAGAAATGTCTTGAAATTTTTTGAGACTTAAATAACATTTATTTCCTTAACTCACAAACATACTTTCACCTTAGTCATGTGTGTAAATACTAGCAACATTTAATAACAGTAATTTGTAAAACTATAAAACATATTTAGATTAGATCATCATCATAAAGGTATATGTGACCTCAACTCTCATCATTAGATCATCATTTAGTTGAACACAATTTCACAATATGACTTTGTGTAACTTTATAAAACCTGTTTCTATACAGAGTAGCAGACTTAGCTTAACCATATTATCATTTTATCTGATGGTATATTTAAGTTATTTTTTAACATGTTGTCAAGAGTCATGGGTGCATTTTCTATAAAAGAAAAGTTTTTATATTAACTTGTTTTGCATTTATATGTGTAATATTTATTTAAGTGGTACAATATATTAAGAATTTTTTCTAGTATTGCAAACAAAAATATCCAATGTGATAAAAATGTAATTCTATTTAAAATCTGAGCTTATTTTTCTTAAATGCTGTATTTAAGTAGTGACAAGTTTTCCTTAATTTTATTAAGAGATTAGTGACACAGCAAGCCATAGTTCTTCATTGCTACAATATATAATTGTTTGACATATTAATTAGTTTCTGTCCTTAATCTGTTTCTTGTTTTATTACAATGTCTATTAAAAACACTGTCTGATTTCAACATACTTTATCATAATATGACATTAATTAGGTGTTTGAGTTCATATTTTTTTGGTACGTTCAGTTGGCTAGTAATAAAATCTTTTTTTTTTTACAATTACTTGGAAAAGGACTTTTTAAAATTAGGAATAGTGTATTTTTGTAGTTTGGATATCTAGTGGATTGGTCATTATTAGAATTTCAAAAGTAAGGTATAGTACCAACATTATATGTGAGACGTTCATCATAGTTAATGTTTTATGTGGGGTTGGCAGTGATGACATTTCCGTTAGTCGTGTTTTACTAAAACCCACGTTTAGAGAGGTCAATAAAGTCACTTCTGTCGGCATCACGACTTATTTAATAAATACTTTCAATCAGAAACGTTTAAAATATGCCTGCAATATAAATTTTTACCATTTATCGTCCAAAATAATGCAATAGGAATCTATTTTAAGCAGTTTGAATTCAAAATTGTTGGCACGACCACGTTCATTATTTTTAATTCTCCTACAAAGTGTATAAAATTAAACGGATGACGAAAAAACAGAAGGTTATCGACATTTAAATTTAGCTGAAAAATGGGTTTTCTAAATAAAAGTACGAAATATTCCCTTGTATATGAGTATTTAGACTCCTTGCAGTAATGCGTTACTATTTTGCGTTATTCAGAACAATCGTCACGGAGTTTCGCCGGTAACTATGTCCAATATCCGATTTGTATCGGTTGGTGAGTGCGTTCCGATCAATGTGCACCGTAAAGCGGCAATAATCAATAGTTTCTCTTCAACATCGTGCGTGACTTTGTCTGCCTATACGCATCTTGAATTAAAGTTATAAGGGACATTATTAATATTAAAGTCAGATCCTTCGATTTTTTGTCAACAAAAGATGATATAATCCAAGAAACAATCTTAATCGGATGGTAGTATAAATTATAGTAACTATCTAATTATATATCCCTTTAGACTGAAATCGAAATGTAGTAACAATTATTTCGTTCGGAGCCAATTATACCTTTATTTGGATTAATGTATTTGTTTTTATCATTGTGAATTTTATTTCGCAACGTTCCGCTCTTACTTTCCCTTTAAAATCTCTTATTTCACTTCGCGCGTTAATTATATTGTTCAATTTGCGAAAACAACGAATACAATGAACAAAAAACCTACTTCGTCAGCGTTTAATGGTTTCTTTCTGAACCGGTTACTGATCGACCTTCACTTATTACTTACGTAACTATTACCGTTGCTATATGTTGTGAAGAATGAAGTTTTAATTATATATTCCGTTATTATATTATTTGTAACAAGCATTTATAGTATAACTAGCTTTCGTCCGCGACTCCGTTCCGTTCCGTGGATTTATAAAAAAAAAATAAAAGTGAGTAGCCTATGTGTTCTTCCGGAGTATCCTCTATTATGTCAAATTTCATCGAAATCATTTCACCCGTTTAGGCTACAAACTCTAACAAACATCCATCCATACATCTAAACTTTTACATTTATAATATTAGTAAGATTAAGAATTCCATGTTCTTTTTCGTGCAAATTGTTATAAATAAATTATTCCATGCACGTTCTGATATAAATTTAGATTTTGTCGTAGGTAATGAATGGAATACCACGCGTCCAAGAATAGTCTTCGTGTTTAGGTCGGCCTCCGTTTGTTTTTATTGTTGCCGATGTTGTAGTACACTTTCACCGTGCTCGACCATGACGGTCATTTGCACTGACAATAGTTTCGTATAACTTCGAATAGCAACGAGTTCCTCAGGCTAATGTATACGAAAACTCTTAGAAATTCACAAATACTATTCGGATTTAAAACTGTTTAGTTTTTTGTTAGGCAACAAGGGGAGAGAATACGTAATTGGTAACTTTTCGGAAGTCTAGCATCGAAAATATAGCCTATTATTTATGAGTCTATAAGGTCGAAAATACGCTTATCTTAAACTGAAAATAAAATTGACTGCCTGTATATTTCTATTTTCATCAGACCGTTATTTGGTTACGGTGGACAATGATCCGTAGTTTTAACAAAAACTGTCTAAAATTCAATCTAGTTTACAGTTACGAGAGATCTGTCTTTGAATTAAATGATCTGATGGATGTTATAAATAAATTTGTAAACGTATTCGAAATATAAATTTAAGATATTTAAGTATAGGGCAGTTTAAGTAATCATTTAATAATTCGGCAATTATTGGTGACTTTATATTCTTGCTATTCTAATTTGCAATTTGCTTTGAGGTAAGTCGTGGATAACAAAAATAATCGGCCTAACGCAAGGGCTTCCTCAGGTTAATATACCTCCACGCCCCATTAGGTATAGCCTTGTAAAACACTCCAATCGATCGATCAATTAGTTTGTCTGCAATTAGAACGTTAGAAGTATTTTATCATTATGTCAAAGGATGTAAAAACGAGATAGTGTTTTCCTCCGTCTGATCGTAATAACTAGTTTTCGATCGATAAAGTTGTAATGAAAATTTGAATGACAAATTCTAGTATTGCAGCGAATCGTATACGTATTACTTGTTTCTTCGCCGCACTGAATGACTATTTGTTACGTTCGTCGGTCGTACGCATTGTATTGTAAATGTAGACATTTGAAAGTTTTTTCATTCACTGAAGATCACTGGTAGTTTAAAGATCATGTAAGAAATATATTTACTATGTTTTTGCAATGCACAGATAAAGAATTTTGACGATAACGAAAGATATTTTTAACTATCTGCAGCTCGAACACTGTGTAAGAGATAAAGATTAACTTTCACAAGCAACATTAAATAATCTGTATAAATATTTTACTAAATTACATCTAGAAAGTATAGTAATTAATAATTTCGAGGGAGATCAGACAATACATAAAACAGTTAAAATAACTAATGAACACGTATTCATTAAGAAGTTCTGGAATAAACTTAGATATATTGAAGTTGTATTTATCTTTCCTGTAACCAATTATATTCACTGGTTAACTAATATATTCATGCTCGTATGTTGAAGCAGACTTTCAAATATAGTAACCAAATGGCACATAACAAGCAGTGACTTGCGACCCGGAGAATCAAGGTACGGAGTTTAATGGAATCGAGATTGTACTGTCACGTTAAATAATGACATGTAACAAAGGACTGGTTTGGAAAGTGACGACGCGAGAACGAAGCGAATTGCCGTTGCAAGTGGTTAGCGCGACAGGGTGGTGTCTCGCTATTGGCTTCGCTGGCATCGCTTTATACAAAAAGGACAGGCGTCAAGTACATAGTCGTATTGATTATTTTATCTCGTTATTGTCTTTGTACATATTGCTTTCTTGTTCTTACTACAGAATCAATATAAATTAATTATTTTTGTTTTGTTGTAATATATTTTTACAATACAAAAAACAAGGAACTAACCAAGACTGGCTATCTATTTTTAAATCTATGTAAAACACTTAATTGCGTAAATAAAGACTACGATTGTGAAGGTATATCTAGATGTTATATAAGTATAAAATGTGTGAATAATGAACTAACGTAAAAAGTTAGACGCGCGGTTATCTGACATAGTGTTCATAAAGATGAATCTATTAGGAATCTGACAAGGCCACTGATAAACAATGAAACAACGTTTGTATGTTAATATTACTGTTCATTGAAATAAAGTTACGAACAGACGGAAAACCATGACAGAAGTATGGTATATCTGTTCCACTATTTTATTCTCCAAACTTCACCAATATACATGTTATCATTATTAGATGCAATTACACTTTTTATTGTGTGTATATATTGACAGGAATTGCAATAATAATACTTTTAAATTAAACCATATTACGTAATCTGTCCCTTTGTAATAGTAATAAACTTAAAACTTAAGTAACAAAAATTGAAAGGAGTCTGTGCGCGTACGCACAAAAATATAATAAAAACATATGTTTACGGCCCTTACACAAAATATTTTACACATTATTGTG